TTTTTGCCATTCTGGACTGCTTTCACCCCCGTGCAGCTCAAGTCAGGACTGGGAGGGGGTGGAGGGACATGTCCATGATGACATCCGTGTTCAGAATGACGGCAGTGGAGATGGGCAGGGGAACAGTGCGCACATCCCACGTTTGACTCTCCAGGGGCCTCACCGAAGGAAGTGGGAGGATTTTGGTTTGTTTGCTTGGTGTCTGGCCTAGTCTGGGGAGGCTTGAGTTTCAAAGTATACATAGAACCTTTGCAGATCGAAGGAAAGCATCCTGGGGGAAGACTTGGCAGAGGGTGAGAAGGTTCCCAAGCATCTTATTGGATATCTTGTCTGCGAGAATGTCTTAAAAAGTCTGAACCTGCACTTGAGAAGGCATCCTCATGGGATTCCTGTATCGCCAGTCCTGTCGGAGTGGAGGCTCTATTGAAGGAGGCTCTAGCAAATACAGAGAATCTGGGGCTTTAAACCATCTTTAGAATGAGACTGAGTATGAGTAAAAATGTAAAAATAGACAATTAACCCAGTGTAAAGCGAGTTGCCAGTGATGGTAGCTGATAAATCAATGCATCAGATCAGATGAGGTCGATGCTAAGAGCAGAGGTTTGGGCCAGATGTTCTTGGGTTAAAATTTTATTCCACTGCTATTGGCTGTGTGGTTTTGATCGAATCACTTAACCCCTCTGAGCCCCAGCGTGCGTGCCTGTGCGGTGGAAGAAGATGCCAACCTCGTAGGGCCGTCGGAGCTGCTAGACAGGAGGTGGCCCAAGGCCTCCTAAACTGCTTAGTGCAAATCCAGTACCCACCGGTTCCACCTGGCCTTTTGCTCCCTGGCTGCTTCTCATCTTACAGGTTTAGCTTAATTGTCACCTCCTCCGAGAAACCTTCCATATGACCCATGGAGAGCACCATGCCTGCTTCTCACACCCCTGACTGCCTTCCCTTGCTTCTCCTGGTTTATTTATTTTCCAGCATGTTTGTGTTGTTTTTTTTTTGTTTGTTTTTGTTTGTTTTTTGTTTGTTTGTTGAACTCTAATTTCCTCTGTCCACCGGACTGAAGTCACTGAAGGTAGAGGCTTGATCTGGTTTGTTTTGGGACTTGGAGTGTCTTGATCACAGGTGGCTGAAGTATTTGACTGAAGATCCTGTAACCGGGGCAAGCTTCTGAGCCCCCTCAGTTCTCGGCTTTTTCGTATGTGTGATCCTGGCAGCCGCTCTAAAGGGTTGTGGTGCGCCGAGAATGAACTGGGATATAGTGTGGATTTCACCGACTGCAGGAGGTGAGGGACACAGAGCAGGAATCGGTACTGTTCGATAACACCATGAGATGGCATATGGAATATTCAGCACCCCGAAATCACAAATATTTTTATTCTCTTTCTCCTCTTTTCTTCTCTCTATGGAGTTTTGTACTTCTTCCTTGCAGATACAAATTACATAGAAAGCAAAGTGTGGGATAATGAATGTAACCCTGAATAATGAGGAAAGAAAACGCAAGAGTGTCAATTTCTCAATTTACAAAACCAGTGATTTCATTTATAATGGCAGTGGAAGGGGCCAGTGGTTGAGCTCACACATTAACATGTAAACTGACCGAATGAGTCAATCTGTCTGTGTTTTGAGCAGAAGCAGGACTCCAATAATTGAATGCATTTTGGAAATGTGATTTGCTTACTAGAATCCTGAGGCTGAGTTTCCTGGGATGGACAAGCTACACCCACACTTCCTAATTTTTCGCTGTGGCACTTGCTGAGACACCACTGTGACCCTGGGCTTTCTCCCGCTCTGGCCAGCAATTTCCCCAACTATTGAAAGAGGAGTTTAGACCGAGGAGGGTGGTTCTGGGCACATGCGGATCGAAAACGCCTTCACTCTCGCAGTGGTCTGATGAGCCGCGAAGCCCTCTCTCCTCACCCGCTGTCTCAGTGCATTAAAACGGGGATTCTTTCTGAACTTATAAAAAAGTCCCTTGGTCTTTCAACCACAATAAAACTGATCGAGAATCCAAGTAAACAGAACAGATTCGGGTACAAATAGGATTGGGGTGCATACCATCTCCTTGGCCTCTGACTAAAATGGGGCTCTGCGGGACGTGGGTATGTCCCTATTTTTGTATAGTAGTTTCTGTCCTGTAGAGTTGTTCATCTCTGTCTGAAAGGCGGGGGGTGGGAGAGTGGGTGAAGAGTTCTCACCTCTCCTTCTCCTTCTTCTTCTCACAGCCCCAGGCCACTTCTGAGGCATCCCTAGGGTTCCAGGGAACACGGTTTGAAACTACAGTGTTTCAGGATTACTGGGCAAAAGCAGAATGAAACTCACTTTAACAAATCTGCCTGTCCTAAAGTAAACCTGGACCCATCCTAAGCTTCTCGAGGGCCAGCAGGACATGGCACCCACTGAAACCACAAGTGTCTGTTGAATGAATGAATGAGTTAAGCGCTGCGTTTTCACCTCAGAGCCGGGGCCTGGCCTCTCTGTCCCGGAACACCACCTTTTAAGGCGACAGAGTCTCTGACTTGCTCTGGGACGCTAGAGCTTGTGCTTTGGTTGCCTTCGTACCAGAATAATTTGTGACATCTCAGGTGGAACTGCTGGTGATATAATCAAGACTTCAAAACGTTGTAACCGCAAATGTAATTTCTTTTGAACATTTGGGGATGTTTAAACGGTAGCTTGAGTATTAAATCTGCACTTTATGGGAGTTGGGGAGAGGGGAGTGGGGAGCAGGAGGGAAGAGTTTCCCCAAATGTATGAAAGAAGGATGGAAAACATTGTTGAGTTTTTTTCTAGGAAACGTTTTTTTTTCCCCCTTCAATTGAAATATTGCTTTAAAGCATTGGCAGGCTTACAGACGTGAAATGAAAAACAAATTCCACAAAAATCCCGAGCACCATAACAATAATGAATAAAGTAGTGCGAAATGCTTTGATTTCAGTAATGTTTTCGCTAGAGCTGGTTCATTCCGAAGAGACTGTATGTATCCCGAAGGAGGCCCTTCTGCACTGCGTTTTAAGAGTTTATAACAACTTTTGGGGGGTCTCGGTTGTGATATGATAATGTAATGGGCTCATGCAGCGGTAAAGGCTCATGGGCTTTGAAAAGTGGCCCAACCAGGGTTTGAATCCCTCCGCCCCTATACGTGACCTGGGTCTCTTTAAGTAAGTGACGGTTCTGTCTGGGCTGAGTGTCCTCACGTGTAAAAATTCGTAAGTAATGCCACCCTCAGTGGACTGCTGTGAAGCTTACGTGACAGAATATAAAATGAGAGCTGCTGGTAGGGGGTGTAGGCATTGGGACTGAGCTTTTTTGGGTAAAGATGGTAATTCTGTATCTGTGTCCAAAACTCAGTAGTTCTATATAAAGCTCAATATTCCAATAACACAGGAAACTATGGCCATTTCCTCATTTTCTTTTTTGATTTCATGCCTTTTTTTTCTGATTACAAAAGTGATATGTATTTACTGGAGAAAGCGTGAAAACTAACCATGGATGTTCAAAAGGAAATCACCTACAATTCCAATAAACAGTTGGCGTGCTTTTTAATGTATGTAAATATATGATTTTTCTCTGGTCTGTTTCTTTCTTGCTGAGAAAATATTTTTGTTCACTGAGATTTTCAAATATGAAATTTCAATTTTGTATTCATCATAATCCGGTTGTATATACTATTCTTCTCTCATAATTTTTTAAAATACTTTTTTTTTAATTAGTAGAAGAGTTGATCATGTGCATTGTTAAACATTTAGAAAAAGTGAAGGCACAAGAAGAAGAAATGAAAATACCTCCCATGATCTCAATACACGGAAGTGGTCACCAGTGACATTAAGTTGCACATCCTTTTAGTCTTTCTTCTCAATTTATATTTAAATTTATAAATTTATAATGAACTTCTTGAGTGATCTATATTGTAGATTACTTTCTTTTGCTGAATTTTGCATTGAGAATATTTTTCTATGTCATTAACTTTTCTTCTATATCATAATTTTTAGTAGTTGATATTATTTTATATTATAGTTTATTTTATTAATTTCCTATTTCTAGGTAGATTTCAGTATTTTATTGTGATAGACAATTTTGCAGTGAACATCCTAATAGCTAAATGAATGCTATGTTCCTGAAGCATTCTTTAAAATAAGTTTCTGGAAGTGACTTGCATGCACATTCTTATGTCTTTTGTCAATTTACCCTCCAGTACAGTTATACCAATTTATACTTCCAAGAGTATAGTACATAAAAGTACCTGCTTCCTTGTGCCCTTATGAGTATTATACTAGTAACACCATCGAAAGAGGAAAAATTTCCTAATTTGACAAAAATTGTTATACTTTATTATAATTTACACTTTATTAGTAGTAGATTTCTTCTATTTTTGAATTATCTGCCATATCTTTTACATGTTTTTCTTTTTCATACTTGTTTTTTGTAGTAAAACAAACAGGGGAAATGAATAAAGTCCATTAAGAGTACACTTAGATCAGTTTTCACAATTTTACACATCTGTGTAAACGCCCATGTTAAGATATAAAACATTTCTAACACTCCAGAATAGAATAGGACCTCGATTGATCTATTTGTCTTTTATGTGGCAATAATGCATTCAAAAAACATTGTACATTTAGGTATGAATCTAACAGAAGGTGTACAAGACCTCTACTCTGAAAACTACAACACTTTATTGAAAAAAATTAAAAGAGATCTAAGTAAGTGGAAGGATATACTATGTTCATGAATTGGAAGACTCTATATTATAAAGATGTCTGTTATCCCCAAATTCATCTATTGATTAGATGCCATCCCAAACAAATTCTAGCAAGCTTTTATTTATTCCTGTGTCATCAACAAACTGATTCTAAAATTTATATGGAAATTCAAGGGCCAAGAAAAGCTAAGGCAATCTTGAAGAAGACATACAAAATGAAGGACTTATACAACCAAATATCAAGATAATATAAAATAATGGTAAAGATAAAAGAGTATTATGGGTAAAAGATTTGAATAGACACTTCAAAAAGAGGATATTCGGATGACTAATAAGCATATAAAAAGGTTCTAAACTTCATTAATCATCAGAGAAATACAAATTACCACTATACACTTGAGGTGAAATACAATGCGCTACCATTAGAGAAATACAGGGTGTTACCATACACACTTGCCAGAATGACTTAAAGACAGACATGTCAAGTGTTGGAAGGAAGTGGAGCCACTGGAGCCCTTGTGTCCTGCTGATAGGAAGGTAAATTGGTACAATTACTTCAGAAAATGGTTTGGCAGTGTCCATTACATGTAAACATATGTCTACCTATAATGCAGCAAGTCTACTTGTAGGTATACACCTAGCAGAAGTGCATACATATGTTTATTCATGGATGAAATGTCTACCAGCAGTAGAATGGGAAAAGTGCAGTATATTCAGACAACGGAATACTAGATGGGAATGAGAATGAACAAACCGCAACCACATGCAAAAACACAATGTCCAGCAAAAGAGGCCAGACACAAAAGATGATGCGCTGTATGATTCCATATATACAATGTACTAAAATAAGCTAAAGTAACTGATGATGTTGGAAGTTAGGGTAGCGGCTGCCCTTGGGGTACGGAGTGGCATGATGGGGTTTCTGGGCTGATGGCCATGTCCTGGTTCTTAATGAGGAGCTGATTATATGGTTGTTTTCTTTTTGAAAATCCGTTTAGCTGTATACTTATGATTTGTATACTTTACATTTTATATATTACTTCTTGCATTTTTTTTCCGTGGGGGCAGGGGGAGCCTCGGGAGTTGGTGCTCTACAGTCTTTTTGCTTTGCATTGCTGAGAAGAATTCTGAGGCCAGATAGGTTTTCCTTTCTTGGGTACGATTGTAGAATTTTTTCCTTACCTAAAACTGAAACATAATTACCAAATTATTTTTATATATTAGCTATTTTAATTAATATTGCCTGATCTTCAGGGAACCCTTTGGATATAAATACTTACCTCTTTTCTTTCTAATTTTTTTTTAGTTTTCTGAATTTTTCTTCTATTACTTGTTAGATTAGTGTATCTTTCATCTTTTTTGCTATCTACATTGACATTTCTGATAAACGATAATTGGATCTATTGAATTCTTTTTTTAAAAAAAAAGACGACAACATTATTTCCTTTCAAAATGTTCATCTCTTTATCCTGGGAAAATTTCTTGACCTTATTTTGTACTGCATTGATTTACAATTTAAAAAATATTCAAGCTTCTATTTGTTGCTTTCAATTCAGCATTTGTACTTCTCATCGTTTTATAGAATTTCCTGATCCCAGATGTTGTTAAGTTGTCACTTGTTCTCGATGTGGTGGTGAGAATACAAATTAGAAAATTTCTAAAAGTTTCTGTGCTTCCTGCAGTACCAGTTTCTTAGGAAAATATTGTTTCCAATTTCACAGAGTGGTCCTCTCTTTTTCTACATCAAGACCTTTCCTCTTCTAGTTCCTTTTCTCCATTTGTACATCCTTCTAGAGATGCTCAGAGGTGGGAACTGAGATGCATTCTGTTATTCCACACATTTTTACTGAGTACACTCTATTTACCCATCATTTTCTTGGCTCCTAAAGATAGAGTGGTAAACTCTCTAGAAACCATCCCTCTTCCCATGGTTCTTAAACCCTAACAAGGAAGGCTGACCTTGAATGAGTGATTACAGGTATGAGGAATGTCATGCAGATAAAGAGCAGGATCTGCAAGAGAGGAATTCAATCCAGACTTAGTGGGTGGTACATGGAGCACTCTGGAAAGACCCCCTAAAGAAGCGATGTTTTAGGCTGAAATCCAAAAACGAATGCCCATTAAAGAAGGGGTGAAGTAAAGGGACCACTGTGGACTCTGCTTAAATCCTAACTCTGCCTATTGGGTTCATTTTGCAACTGCTTTGCCTTGGAGAGCTTTCCGGGAAGTTCCATTGCCCAACCGTAGATGAGAGACAGGGGCATTACCAAGATATAATTATGACAAGGTGGGACTCGGTTCCATGGGCTTTAGGAGACTTCTCAGTCAAAATGAGTAGTCATGGCAGATGGTAGGTTCGTTAGAACCTCCATGCCTATCAGTCTGGGTGTCAGCCCAGAACCAAAACCACGTTTGAAGGACAATCTGCTAATGGTTCATCTATAAACAGAAGTGGGATGACCCTCCTTTCGGGCATGTGCTCTAGTCAGCCCCGCTAGTTTTCACAGGAGGACATTAGTGGGTCTTCTCCCCACTCATCTGGTGGTTAAAGAACATATCTATGACCTCAACTGGCAACCCGAAACAGCAGGTACCTGACGGGGAAGAAAAGCTCAAACTCATTGCCACTCATCATCAAAAGTTATGATAAGGGACAGAACACTTAGAGCAAACTGTCTCATGGGTATGCGATTCATCCCTGAGACCCTAAAACTCCCCAAACAATGCCGTCAAATGGAACATTCTGGTGAGAGATTTCTCTATCTCTGCTGTTCAGTCACATATGGCTATTGAGCACTTGAAATGTGGCTAGTATGACTGAGAACTGCATTGTTGATTTAATTTAAATGAATTTAAATAGATAGTGGCAACTCTTTGGAGAGTACGGCTCTAAGATCTCCTAGATTAAGGTAGAGCCA